CTATCCTTGTTTATTGCACAAAATTTTGTTTGTTATATATGTGCACGTGCAAGTAAACCATTGAACGGCGTGGTGCTTATATATTGATCTGTTGTGATTGATGCGTGAGTTTTTAAGTCTAACATAAGGTATTTAATTAAAAAAAGTATAATATTGGCGTAATTTATTTTTGTAATCATTAAAATATGCCATTTGTTTCCCCTGGGAAAATGCAGAATGTACTTATACAGGGCTCCCTACGCCTGCTTTCTTTCCTTAGCTTCACAAGGACATTTTATTACACATGTTAGAGAAAAAAATTTGAAAAAAAGATTTATCAATGTTAAAAAGAATGTAAGCAAAATATAAAATCAAATTATATACATTCAAGTGCTAATATGTCATATATTTCATGATCGACTGACCTCATATATGTTACATTTTTCATTAAATGCAAGTGAATTTCACATGGAAAACATATCATACGGTCTTAGTTGTCAAGAAACTAGATCTTTTCCGTTTCTTTCTAATTAAAGACTTTTCAATCAGGTTTGATAATTGCCGGTTTTATTAATCTACTAGAAGAACAGATCAAAAGAAATTGTCAGACCGACCTCCGAAGAATAGCACATTCTAATACTATTAGAATAGTTAAGGCGTTTATAAGATATATATTTAGTAACACGTTTATTGGAAATGTCATGCAATACAACCGCCTTTGGATTATTTTACTCTATTTTCAGTACAGTTAACAATAAATTATCCATAGGTAAACTAACTTTTCCAAGTTCTTAACCGACGTCTGACATCTACAATGAAAGCCGGAAAATCTCAAGATATTTCTATAGAATTAGCCATAGGCAGGTTTATAGTTGGAAGATGTTTACCCGAAGTATGTTGATATTATGTACACCTCATCTACTGTTCATCTCGTACGACGTATATGTTCTTTATGAATTAATTTATTAAATGATTCGGGGAAGGGGACGAGATTGTAGAAACGATAATTGGAACATATCCGTCGTCATCTGTGAAACAGATATTCCATAACGGTCAACCAACTCGTGATGGTGTCCGTAAAATTTACGAAGGGAAGATTTTGACTTCACTACTTGGAACTTTTGGTTGAATAGCTTCTTTGTGAGCAGCAACCTCTATCAAGGAAATTATGATAGGGAATACAATACCTGGAACATCGTATCAACTGAGAGATATATACTCCGTATGCAGGCGCTGCTGGAATGTTGCTAAATAGAAATGGAAAGTTCACAATTGGGAAGCTGAAATCATCTCTTTTGACGTAAAGTTTTGTTTTCAACCGACCCTCATTGTCAATTTCTAGATGTAAGTCAAGATATGACGCAGACTTTACTGTATCTGTTGTATCCTTTATCTCAAGTTCGATGGGATAGGTGCATTCAATATAGTCACCAAATTTTCAATTATTTAGTGAGAGAACATCATCTTTATAGCGGAAAGTGAAATTAAAGGATACTGCTAACTTCTTTTCTTTCTTACTAAGAAGTTCCTGTATGAAGTCAGCCATATATGAATAAGGAACAAGTCGGTAAGAAGAGGAACACAGTTGGTTCCCATTGGAATGCCGATTGTTTGTTGAAAAAAAAAAACGTCCTCTAAACGTAACATATATGTTGTCAATCAAGAAATCAAGCATCTTGATAATGTCAATTTCAAAGAATTTTGTGTTTGAATCAGATGTATCCCTCCCTAAGACAAGAAACTTGCATCTACGTAAAGCATTCTTTGTTATGAAACAAAGCATGACCAAGTCTTTCAATTTGTCTTTTAGTTTGGAATGGGGAATACTTGTGTAAAGTATAGAAAAGTCAAATGTTTTAATACTTTTGCAAGATGAAAGAGTCTTAGATTGTATGTACTCTAAAAGATCTTTGGATTTTTTTTTTAGTATCCACATCTGATTCACGCCATCTCCAGAATAGGTAGTTTCACAATAACTTTGAAGCCCGGCTTTGATTGTTGATAAAATAGATGTCAATAATTTAGATAGAGGTTTCGTGGAGCACTTTGAAGACCCAGCAATATAACGTTGTTTGTAAGGACACTTATGTAGTTTAGGTATCCAATACAGTGAAGGAAAATTCAATTATTCATCTTCGGTTGAAATTCCAAAGGAACATATAACAGACCTATGGTTACCCAGGATATTTTCCTTGGTAAGTGTCGTGAGGGTATATGTTGAGTTTGCAAGAGAATTGTCGATACCTTATTCATTTATCAAGCAGTTTATATTATAAGGCATCGTTTTTTGTGTAAAATAAAATGTTTCAAAATTCATCAATAATTGACCTAAGTATCGCCTATTCACTTCATATATCTTTTAAAAACACAATTAAAAATTAAGTAGATAATTGCAAGCCAAAGGTCTGAAATTCATAATTTCTAGACCACCAAAGACATGGCTCTTATTATAAAGCGATGAGGTATTCTCAACCAGTGGTGTCATTCAAACGTGGTTTCTTAAAGATCTACTCCATAATCATCAATCACTACAATCTTGCAACATTGTTTAAACTTCTTTCTTTATCACACTAACTGCTATTCCTCAAGGTATTGCATTTTATCATCAACCAATCCTTTTTCTCATTATTGTGAAATATAAATTTCTTGATTCAAGTCGCAAAAAATCTTACAAGTGCCACACTGATTTTTACTGGTTGTTTTGTGTGTCTTAATTTCCAATGTCTGTATTGTCTGAAACGGTAATGTGCTTTGTTATCCTTTATCCTGAGAAACTGTTTTAAAGTTTAGGCTTGAGCAGTCTTGATGAAAAAAATCAAGAAATTTATACAATTTATATTTATTTCATTTCCTTTAAAAAGTATGTTAAATTTTGAACGTTAGAAAATATACATGTCTATTGTATCGATGGTTTATCTATTTGTTTATCTCTAAGGATTTTACAAGATATATTTACCCATCTGCAACTAAAAGGGCACACTAATCCGAAATAATTCATCAAGGTATTTTAGCAGGAGTACCACGACGGGTTCGTATTGCTCAATTTTAAGTTTTCATCGTATTGTTGTCTTTTTTTACACTGATATAGAAATAAGGAGATGTGGTATGAAAACCAATGAGAAAACTATCCACCAAAGTTCAAATGAAGTGATGATTGTTTTTTTTTCAAATAATTTGGTGAGTTTTGGTCATGATGTTATCATTTTTGGGGAATTACTGTTTTCTATTTTACATTGATATCTTTTCTATCTTTTTCTACAAGTTTTACAGCCCCCATAATGGAAACGTTGAACAGTACGGCGTATGGGTATTTTAACTCATATGACAGATGTCTTTCGTATTAGATCTGAAGACACCATAATTGTGGTTGGGTCAGTAAATTAATGAATCCGTATTGTCATATATTTTACTACTTGTTGTCTTCATGGCGGGTGGAGCATACAAACCAGTGGACGCTTACACTTTCGACGCATCCAGTCTTGAACCGTTTAAAGTTACTACTGTCCATTAATTTGTATATCAGATTGTATATTTTAAACTACTGTCGCCTTATATTTAAAAAAAAAAAATAAATCGGGACAATCATAGGTAGGTTCCATATTTTTTTTAATTGTATAGAATTAATTTTTTTTTAAAATGGCTTTCCTTGACTCAAATAAGTATCCATAATGTACACAAACAATCTGCTCTTCCTTTATCTGGTAGAGTAGTGTGAATGTAAGGAGGGTCTATTGGATATTGGATGTGTACTTATTAATATTTAAGTCTTAGATATATGATTTTTTTTTATTAGTTGTTATTGGCTTTGAACTAGCTGTCTCAATAAGTGGGAATATTCTTAGATCTGTACTTTGTTTTTTTTTTGTTGTGTGGGAAGTATAAATAACCTGCCACGTCCGGTTTGTGTTTTTGTTAGTTGTTTTTTCTGCTTTGTATCAATCTGATGAGTTAAGCCCTTTTCAACTGATCTTATAGGTTGTTCTTATATTGTCCTGTTACACCACTGTCTCAGGCTAGAAGAGGGTTTGGCGCCAGCAAACATGCTTATCTCCACCACAATCTGCATGTGCCTGTCCCAAGTCAGGTGCCTGCAATTCAGTGGTTGTCGTTTATTGCTGTATATCATAGTTGCTTTTCGTTGTTTATGTCCATATACCAGGCCGTTGTTTTTCTCGTTTGATTTAATTTACATTTGTCATTTCGAGGCCTTTTATAGCTTACTAAGCGATATTGGGTTTGCTCATTGCTGAAGGCCGTACGGTGACCTATAGTAGAAAACTTCTAAGTCATTTGATGTCTAGTTGAAGTCTGTCTCATTGGCAATCATGCTACGTCTTCTTATTTTTATATGGTATAAATCAAATGTCAGCTTGAATACATTCTAAATATCAGTTTGGGTAGATACATTCACAGATCCTTTTTGTTACTCACGATAAAGGATATAAGCTATTGTCATTCAAATGTACTCGTTTGAACCTTTAAGAAAGATTATTTTAACTAGTAAAGCTTAAAATAATATTATTAATAACAGTTTTATTATAATTATTATTATTATAATTATTATTATTAATATAACTGAAAAACCCAAATAGCGAACGTTGATACAAGTATGTTTTTCTTCCAAAAGGTAAAAGACTCGATGTTGTTGATCTACTTCATTTTTATAGGTCTGTAGAAAAAGTATTGTCTTGTGACTTTACTTGTTTCGAATATTTTCTACATAGATTACGTAAGAAGACTAACTTGTAATAAATATAGCTGCATTCATTTTGGAGACTTTGAGACAATGGTCTTAGAAAAAACCACATAGATAGTTAACCAATGTCTAAATATTCAATAGCAATATTAACAATACTAATTTCAATACACTAGATGCACATGTCGACAATAAATGTTTCTTAAGTGATGTTCGAGGCTGAAATATTTCAAAATCCAAATCTAATACAAAAGTAGAAGAGCTTATCTAACCAAAAAGGACCTACAATATAGCCAAATACGGACAAAGAATCAGAACTTATAAATCAGGTATATCTTTATTACATTATACATATGCAAGTAAATGTTATGTGTAATACAATCAATAACAATCGTTCTATATCAGCCATATGTGATAATATGAATATCAGTCACGGTTACACAGTCCTATTTACACCTAAATAGAAAAACAACAAGTTAATCTACATTGTAAAGTGTATATGATACTGCCTTTGAAACTGAAAACCGTATCAATCTTCAACCAATATAATTCCTAGAGCAGAATTAATATAGGTGTGATATTGAAAAAAGGCCATGTAATATTCTTCTATTCTATTAAATGACTGCATATGTATAATGACTGTTGATTACCAGTTATCATTGTATGACATGTACTATTTGTTATTGTTGTTGTTGTTTTTATATAAACATCATTACACATAGTTTATTTATTTACACAGTTAACTTGTTATCCAGCACCCGTTACCTACAGGTTTAATCGGTCTGTAGTCTCCTGACAATTTACACAAAACTTTTACCTGACTTTTAAATTCATCTATATTTATGTAGCAACCCTGAAATGCAATAAATAAATTTAAGGAATTCACTTTTATGTATAAAATACTTTTTTAAAAGCAAACATCGTCTATTATACTACAAACACCTTTCATTGATTGTGTCGCCTTTTTCTATCTTTTCAATATAATCATTTTTTGTTTTGTCCTGGAATAAACACATCGCATAGTTTCAATATACAAATGGTTTTAATAAGGTGTTCAAAATATATGTTAATAAAAGGACAGAATAGAACTTCAATAAAAATTCAAACTGATGTAAGCAAGTAAGTACATTTAAGATTCTATTTTTTTAGTTTTTCGTTTTCAGTTTTTTATGTATGCTCTACTGTTCTCGAAGACAATGCATACTTTTCTCTATGCATACTTTTCTCTATGCATACTTTTCTTTATGTTCTGTTTCCATTATTCTGTTATTAATCTGTTTCAAGTAGCCTATTCTTGGATTGTTATGCAGATTATATCTAAATTGATGAGACCTCTTCAAGTAACAGCTTTGAAAAATACTGTACAGTCATCCTTCTTTTGTCAATACATTACCTGAAGATATCTGCTACCCCCATTTGACTTGAACTCAGCTCTTCCATGTAGAATTCTCCTGTTGTTAAATACTATACAATCTCCCGGCCTTAACTTGAATTTGAACTACCAAAAAATCAGAAAACACGAATTTTTAAACGAATATATGCTTATAAAACGATTAACTTATACTAATTGTTGAAGTAAGTATTTCGAATTAATCTTTTTTAGTAACCTTGTCTTCTTGTCCTGGTTTAATAGTATACAAAGTATTGTTATATCACAGTCATTTGATTGTCCTATATAAAAAAAAAGAGGGGCGAAAGAAACCAGAGGGACATTCAAACTCATAAATCGAAAACAAACTGACAACGCACTGGCTAAAAAAAGAAACAGACAAACAATAGTACACAAAACACAATATAGAAAACTAAAGACTAAGCAACACGAACCCCACCAAAAACTGGGGGTGATCTCAGGTGCTCCGGAAGGGTAAGTTGATCCTGCTCCACATGTAGCACCCGTCGTGTTGCTCATGTTAGTACAAACCCGGTAAATAGTCTAATACGGTAGGTCACATTCGTGAAATGGGAACGGGATTGTAGTTACGACATTAAGAACATATCCGCTATCATCTGTGAAACGGATATTTTATAACGGTCAACCAACTCGTGATGGCGTCCGTAAAATTTACAAAGGGATGATTTCAACTTCACCTTTTTGAACTCTTGGTTTAATAGCTTCCTTGTTAGCAGCAATCCTCTATCAAGGAAATCATGATAGGAAATACAAGCCCGGGAATATCGTATTAATTGGGAGATATATACTCCGTATGCCGGCGCTGCGGGAATGTTGCTACATAGAAATGGAAAGTTCACAATTGTGAAGCTGAAATCATCTCTTTTGTCGTAAAGTTTTGTTTTCAACCGACCCTCATTGTCAATTTCTAGATGTAAGTCAAGATTTGAGACAGACTTAACTGTATCTGTTGTGTCCTTTATCGCTAGTTCGATGGGATAGATGCGTTCAACATAGTCACCAAATTTTGAATTATTTAGTGAGAGAACATCCTCTATATAGCGGAAACTAAAGTTAAAGTCTTAGTTAAGTCTACATATATATGAAAAAAGACTGTTTATCATTAAAAGTGTTGTTTTTTCAAGTTGATTGTTCCTATGTTAAGTCGTAATGAAGTTTTAAAAAGACTATTTTTCATACAAAGTCGTGATGTCCCACATTTAAACGTCTTATATTAATTTTTAATTTTATATAAAAATTGAATATTGTCATATATATTGTTTTACATGTAGCTATAGTATCCATCTCTGACAATACCAAACTTAAAGAAGAAGTTATTTAAAGACACACATCTGATTTCTTAATAACAAAAGCTAATTGATATCTTATTTTCCGTAGGACGATAATAAACTTCAATACTTGGACGTTCTAGCATGAAATATAACGCACTTACAATATTAGGTGAGTATTTCACAGCCTTTGCAAACTTGTGGTATGCCTTGTAGTATGGCTCAACATCTTCCTTTAAAAAAGACAAATGAATAGGACAAATAGTTCAGGAATTTGTTTTACTTTAAATTAGTTGTTTACCTTTGTCCTTCAAGATACTGCTTTGAACTTGCAGATAATTTAAGTTAAATGTTAACGATTGATAAAATCCCTGTCCTATCTTTCAGATACTGTATACAAATAAAATAGTCGTCGAGTCGCGAAAAAATATAAATATTTTTCAGATGTAAAGTTTTGCATTTAAATTTTTCATTTTCTTCAGTAATTTATTTGTTATTCATATATATTGCAGTTCTTTTTAAAAAAAAAACTTGGTTGGTATTTTTTTGTCAGCAAAAACTATTTGATTTTCCCTCTTACCAGTTTACCAGAAAATGGTGCCTCAAAGGGTGGTGCCCAACAAACTGCAACAATCTAAAAAGAATAAAATAGATGAAAGATGTTTAAAATAAGTTAATCACTTTTTAAAAATTCAAGAAAAACCAGAAAAAAATGCAAAAAATGGGAACAAAAAGCACAAAACAAATAAGCAGCAAAATGAAAAAAAAAAAAAAAAAAACAAAACAAATAATCTCTGTAGTTAAATATAATTTCTAAATTCATTTACAGATCTGTATTTACTTTTGTAAACAATATATTTACAGCAATAAAAATAAAAACATATATACACAATCAATAGATTTTAAAAGCAATTCTCTGTAATAAACCAACCATTTCATATAGGGGGTCGGCACGCATAGTCACCGATTTTTCTGAAACTTAACCTGACCATATAATCAAGTGAAAAAGTAACCATCCCATGTCAACGAGATTTGCCGTACATTTTGGTGAATTAAGCATTGAAAAAACAACTACTTTGCAGGCATTCTGAAGCAAAACCAATTTTTATTTAATGATCATTGTTAATATTTTTCAGAAACATGATACTTAACAAACATAATAGCAATGTCATATATGAAAACTTTTGTCTGAATATGGTACAAACGCAGGAGCAGAGGTAATTTTTCATTGCATTTGTAAAGGCACATTATAAACATTTTACATGAACAAAATATACAGTTTCGCCCATCTCTATTTAAGTTGTGCTTTTAAATATCAAGTATTAATGTTTCTAGTCAACACTTTACAACAAAATGTCTGGGATTCAGGGTGCTAGGATGGTTGCTAAGGAAACCGAAATGTGTTATTTTAGTTTTTGTCTTCAGAAATTCGACCATGTTATTTAGATAACTCGAAAACTGTAATTACTATTTAACGACTATGATGCGAAAACTATCGATCATTAAACGATCTTCAATTTGATTTAAGTGCAAAGGTCATTGATGACCTTGACCTTTGACCTTGCGTATATTAATTGGATTTTGTAAGACAATATATTGGAAAGAAGCAAACAATACATGAGGACAATGTTTAGGATTATTAAAGCCTCTTTTTTGTTTAAAGGTCAACAAAACAAGACAAAGTCATGAAAAAAGTGCATAACAACCACCCCTTTTTAATGCAAAAGTACCTAATAACCATACATATTTTGATTCAGGACTGTATAGATTACATATATATTACAAAGACCCTACATGAAAGGCCAGGTGTTAGTGTTATCACACTAGTCCTTAGCATCCATTCATTTATCAAGGTGGAAAAGTGTATAGCAACAATTCATTTGTATTGAAAAATATTTTTTCGGTTTCATTGGGACAAACATTAGGAAACAATTGATATCAGATATGCAGTGTTCTTTAAATTAGTAATCCTTTTAAATAAAACACATTGTATGTACCAAATTGATGAAATACACGAAATTGATTTTTGTTCACATGTATAATCCAGAATAGTTAATTATATAGAAAATTCAATTTCAAGGTTGAGAAAACTCATCACTTTTTATGAATAAAATCCCATAACTCGGAAACATAAAATCTAAAATTTATAAAAATCGAAAGGGGAGCTTACGTCAATAGATATAAACAATTCATGATAGTTTCTTGAAAATTGGTGGAAGCGTTTTTGAACGGACAAACAAACGGACGGGCGGACAACTTTATACCATAATACGTCTCATCTTAAGACGGGCGTATAGAAATAGGAAGATGTGATATGATTGCCAATGATACAACTCTCCACAAGAGACCAAAGGTTATATTCAAAATAGGTTTTTTAAATCTTCAAAAACAAGACGAAACAAACAAAATTGCTTAGAGGACGACCAATTCATTTCTTTGGTAAGAGTTGGGCGTTTGAGCAAGAGGTTTTATGTGGTACAGAATATTCTTTTTCGCCCGTTATAAGGCTAAATTACTTATTTCCTTTTTTTGTCGTCGAAAAAATAATTTTCCGTTGAGTTAGGTGTTTCTTTTTTTTCAAATCGTTTGATCATTTGATTGTGCAGAAAATTCATTTTCAGCATGTCTTGGGCAAAATTGTTGATCTTCAGTTCTAGACACTATCACATTCATTTCAATCAGCATCCCTTATCCCTACACAAAATAGAGAATGGTCCTTCCCTAGCTGATAGAACTGGTCTGAATCCGCTCCATTGCCAGTTTTGTATTCTGTAGATAATTTTAAAAAAATCCTTCTTAGAAACAAATACATTGTGTGTACTACATAATTTTACTTTTTTTATGTAGATTGTCTCTTGGTGTTCACATTTTCCTGTTTTCATTACAGTTTTTAAGCTAATTGTAAAATCTCAAAATTTAGCTTAGAAAATTCTTTCGGGCAATAACTGCTTAAGAAAATTGATTCACAATTTCACCAATGTTTACACATTGGTAAATATTGTCTTTAAGCTCATTTAAGCTGTATATTGCCTCTCTTCACCTATTAAAATTTTCAAGAATGACAAACAAATTAATGACAATTTCAGGTATTTCAACGTATTTCAACTCTTTTTTTCTGAAAGTATATCTTTATCTATTATAGTTCTTGAATAAAACCCAAAAACACAGAAAGGGAGAAAAATCATTATTTAGGGACAACAAATATGAAGAAGTTGATTTCCAATAAAGTTATCGTAACTTATTTGTTGATCGTATATGGCTAATCTATTTCCTCTAATATTTTCTTCAAGAAAACAAAACAGCCAAAAAAAATCATAAACATTGTTATTTTTCCCCGGTGTATTTGTTTTTTATTGGTAATCTATACAATATCAATTATAAAGTGAAGTTTCTACAACGATAGTAGAACCATATCTTTACGATGCCACTACAAAATGTAGTTTCTAAACAAATAGCATAGCTCATTTTTTACAATGCCACTACAAAATGTAGTTTCTAAAAGAATAGCATAGCTCATTTTTTACAATGCCACTACAAAATGTAGTTTCTAAAAAAATAGCTTAGCACAGTCTCTTCTTTGCCTTCATCAAGTGAAGTTTGTTTTTTTTTTCTTTTTTTTTTTAAATTATTTATTTATTTAATGATAATTTGTCGCACCTGGGACTTACATGAATACAATCTCTTGGTCCCAGGTTGTCTATACCTTCATCATTCTTAAATATCAAAGACTACTAGTTACAAAAACATTATTTTATTAAAATGTTTATTGTATTTCAATACTATGCGAATAAAAGTCTTTCATGTGTTCATTAAAAGAAACGTTTTGTTTTATGGTGTATAACAGGAGTGATATATATGTAAGATATTGACATCGACAGCACACATGCTTAAAACACTTTAGAATTTTTGATGAAGGATTATTTGTGAAATAAATGTTTGCACACTTATATAAAGAAACACAATCTGTGGTGAGTAAAATACTATTACATAAAAAGTACTACAATTATGTAGTATGTACTATAAATATGTATGAAATAAAAACTATAAAATTAACTTATATAAATAATGGCGATTGTTGGTAAATGAAGGTGTAAATAATACACTAGTTCAAAGTGTGCCTTTTGTATTCAAATGATAACTATAACTATAATACTGAGGCACAAGTTATTTAAAACAAATGTATATATTTCTACAAAATGAGCAAAGATTAAGCCAATTCGACTATTAATAGTAATTACAATAATTGAGATAAACGGTCAAGTTTGTCTATTCCAAATAAGATTTTTTTTTTGTTTGATTAAGCGATCATTTTGATTAAATCATTCATATCTTTCTTAAAAATACGGAGGATAAATGTTTCATTAAATACTGTTTTGTTGAATTTAATGTCGTTCCGACCTTTCCAAATACTAAATTGTCCTGAAAGCACTATAAATTTACAATATGTATATTTGCGTTATATTAAGATCTTGTTTATATCCAAAATCATGTTTTGGGCATCAAAGATAAGCGTTATATCTATGAACAGAGATAGCAATCATTTTATTTCTTCAGTGACGTTTTGAAAAAAGTAGAATCACAAAAATACTGAACTCCGAGGAAAATTCAAAAAGGAAAGTCCCCAATCAAATGGCAAAATCAAAAGTTCAAACACATCAAACGAATGGATAACAACTGTCATATTCCTGACTTGGTACAGGCATTTTCTTATGTAGAAAATGGTGGATTGAACCTGGTTTTATAGCTAGCTAAACCTCTCACTTGTATGACAGTCGCATCAAATTCCAGTATATTGACAACGATGCGTGAACAAAACAAACAGACACAATAGGTAAAAATTTGAATTTCAGAACAATAATAGATTAAATGCTCTTGGGTTTCAAAACCTTTGCCACATAAGTTACATAGGCCATCTTACTTTTGTATTTGGTACAATATAAATTTAGTATTAACGTATATTATGTAGTGATTTCAATTGGAATTGGGAAATACTGTTTGATACCGGCAGCTTGTGAACCTTTTTACAAGCTGATTGCCAGTCTAGTTCCGTATTAAATGTTCTTTTCCATTTAATTTCACATTTTGCACTAGTGCATATATTTAGTATTTTTTGAAATGATTTTAATTGAAGTTTTTGTTGTTATTATAGATTTTTATGTGCTTCAAATTAGTTGGATTACTGATGAAGCTTCTTAGTTTGTTAATCCAATCAGTGGGGATTGATTTCTTTATTAGATTGTATTTGCATATCAAATTAAGTTTATTTATATGTTTATCAAATATTATTTTATTACTATAAAAGGTTTCCGTTTCGATATTCCAAACATATTTTGCCGATATGACTCTTGATAGAGGGAGGAAAGAGCAAAGGTTTCCCTTTCAATTTTATATTGTTGTTACCAAATACCAAGAATGCTATTTTTTAATGTTCGGTCATTTTGCTATAAACTTCACACCATGCAGTAATCACCTTTTGGTAAAAAGTTGACATATATACTTAATATCATTTCCATTTAGATCTTTACACGTTCATATAAAATATGCAATGTCAAAGTGTTTTACCTAGTATTTGGCAATTGCATAACATCTTTGTGTTGGACTTTCTAAAGATCTATAAAGTAATTTTATATGCTTGCCTTATCATTTTGATCCTCCCCCTTTTCAAAGCTTTCATCTTCATCTAAACAACATAATTTTCTGGCGACAAGGCTGACTTTAGAGCCCCAAAAAAATCCCGAAAAAGTGAGTTTATATCTTTTTCACACTCTTTAGGTAACCCCTCATCTCAACCTCGTATCCCAAAATAGGCGTTAATTATTTTTTTCAAAATCAATACTTTACCTTTAAATTTCTTGTTTTCCAAACGTGAATACAGTTTTATTTTATCTTGCCAATTATGGAATCCCATATTTTACTGTTAATAATGTTATAACCATGCAAATATATAAAATTACTATTATATATATATATAAAGAAAAACTGTGTAAAACTTATATGCAAAACAAAGATCAATATACATGTTACCTCGTCCTTATCATTGAGTTTGATGTGTGGTCTTTTGTATGTCATATCAACTGGCCAGTCTCTGAAAATATACAACCGGTTAAACTATAATTATACTCGCCAACGTGCCTCATATCAACTGGCCAGTCTCTTCTGAAAGCATATAACCTGTTCAACTTTAATACCAACTGGTAATAAGAATTCTATGTTGCATTTTACAATGTTTATTGGACATCTTTTTTTCAGATAATAGCTTTATTATAGAAGTATTACAAGGTATTCCATAATACGTTAAAATCAGGCTAAAAACTCAACTTATACATGTTATAAATAGAATAGTATGTTTCTTTTTTTCTAAAGAGTTATCAATATTTGACGATTATGTAAGGATCAAACCTCGATTTGCACTGCTGGAATACGATACACCATTTTGCTATCTTATTAGTGAATAAGTGGTTCACACAAAGTACACTTGCATATGGGTATCACCCGACTGCTGCCAGGAGTGCTGACTACTTCTTTTACGAAGTTTCTGCTCTTCAATGGTCTTTAATTGCGTAACGTTTTTGCCTTAGAATTGTTTTGATTCGAGCACCACTAATGATTCTTATGTAGAATAATTGCTAGTCCGGCATAACAGTTTGAGCTTAATATATTCGACGTCTTTTTACAACCTTTTGCTCGATGTAACTGCTGGTTGACGTCTCGTCCTCGATGATAACACCAGCCAAGTATCAAGTGTGCATGAATAGCTTGCTGTTCGGTGTGAGCCAATGCTCCGTGTTGAAGGCCGTACCTTGACCTATAATGGTTTACTTTTATAAATTGTAACTTGGATGGAGAGTTGTCTCATTGGCACTCATACCACATCTTCCTATATCTATGTGCTTACATGGAATATCATTGATGCAGACATTTTTTGAATACAATGCATTTACTTTTAGAAATGTAAAAATCAATGGCCGGACTTTGGCACCTCTTTTTAAACATTTTGGGTTTCACTACTTTTCACTTTTGTCATTGATTTGGCCTTTCAACTGTTTTGCTTCAAACACCAATGATAAGTCTTAAACAGAAGAAACGCGCATTTGGTGTAATAACTTATAGCTTGGTATTTGTAATGACCTTTTATTTCTCTTCATGTGGTATTATGCAATTTCAATGTAAATTACTATTGATATTTACGTAATGTTTCTTTCTTTTTGATTCTATTATGTGGCAAATAAATTGTATTTTTTTATGTTTTTAAGATTATCATATGTAAGTGTACATAACGAATAAGTTATGTCAACGTTTTCTAAAGTTTAAAAAAAAGTTGTTTTATTAACTTATCATTTACCTCTCATAATGAACTTTTTGAATTGTGACGGCATTTTGGGTCAAGATTTTGAAATCCTCTGGATGTTGAATTCTGAATTCCTCAGCTACACGATTAACATCAAGAAGAATACTTTCCCCACCTTCTACACATTCATCAAACCTAAAGAATTTTAGTTTGGTATTTCTTGTTAACTTTTGAGTAGCACATTCCGCGTATGTTTTACCTCATTTTGCTTCGTTGAATATGTAGATATAAATTTGCTTGCGTAAATAAATCACAAAACTTCTTTTGTATGATTGTTACATAATAGTATTACTTCAAATTATTGTCCTGGATGGGATTCCACACACATACTATATCACTTTATATTTCATTCAGTTTAAATACTATACAACATAATTATTCATTCAGTTTACATACTATACAACATAATTATTCATTCAAAGTTAACCTGTATGTGGGTTTCTTCCGGTAATTCAAACTTCAAAACATTTTTCTGTTATTTATCACATAAATTAATACATGTTTTATGGAAGTTCGAGGGTATGAAAAACAAAAATAGAACTGCAAATATATCGTGTACTATGTTGTTTTCTTAAGCAGCGCTTTTTTATCTCCGTTATTACTTTTTTGTATTTGCAGTAATGGATTTTTGTTAGCAACTGGTTTTATTTCTTATGAAAAGGCTGTATACAGCATATATCTGACAATTTGATTAATAAACTAACACTATATGAATAGAAAAAAAAACCAAACAAACATGCAACGGAATATACACATTCGTCCGTTACCACAACATATTTTGAACCATATGTAAATTGAAAAAAATGGCTATCAGTTGCAGTCGATATGCACGTCATCTCGAAATTATAGCTAAACAACGGTTAGTTCCGATTGGTTGCTTATTGGTGTGACACAAAATATATTTGCTTGAATGGTTTATGAAATTGGTAACATCCTAGAAAGTGGAGACGAAAATAAGTACGGACGATCTAACAATAAGGTTATTTGAAATAGATGAATATGTTACTATAGGAACACATATTGCTTGATAATTTGATAAGCATTGATTGTGTCAAAATTGATACATTTATTATTATCTATTTCCCTATCTTTAACCTGTATAATACGATTAGTTTTATACACAATATGTCTAATGTGTAATGTGTATGGTGTTCATGTCACATCATCAGTTACCACACATATTATTCCCTTACTTTAACCTGTATCACACGATTAGTTTTATACACAATATTTCTAATGTATAATGTGTATTGTGTTCATGTCATATCATCAGTCATCACACATATTATTCAAAAATAATAGTTCTTTTCACAGATGCATTCACTCGATGCTGGCCGTTATGTAGTTATTATATATTTATTTTTTTTAAATCAATTTGTTAAACTATCCCAGTATACAATTTAGAAAGTGTGGGTCTAAAACGACACTTAGATAAAACAGTGCTCCAAAACAACCAAAACACAAGTATATAACGTTAGGAGTCATCCACAGAATATGGTCATTTAAAGCATCTGTTAATGGTTTACTCTCGCTGTGAACTTTATATAATGATGAATCGAGAGTATTACTTTACTTGTTTCTGACAGAAATAACTTAATTAATTAGAGAGAGTAAAAATATTCAGTCAAAACTAACGGTATTGTGTGTCAGTTTATATAAGGAGATCCAAATATAACCTTTTTTGTCTAATGAATAATTTCTTATTTTAACTATTTGACATTAGATTTTCCTTTCACAGTGCACAGCTGACGTTAATTTACGAAACGGCAAAACACTCCATACCTTTTTGGACGCCCAATTTGTATACGTATACATTTAATTACCAAAAGAGGTGACAAACCTACTTTTACAAATATCTGTAAATAGATTGTTGTTTGTGGTTATAATACATGTCCTAGCATCGATCGGATTCTTTTATGGTACTTACTCTAGGCAATGCAAAAAAAATAATCCTGGTCCAGACTCGTAATGGTGTAGGTCATTGTGAAGGGGCAAATATGCCGTAGAGTAAGCAATATTTATTGGGTTTGGGACATCTCGAACCGGAAACGTCTGTAAAAGAATAAAGACAAACTTATGAAAAAAAAAGTACAAAATGTAGCAGTGCACAACATTGAGTGAAAATACAGTTTCTTTACGATGGTTTTCAGTACACAGAATCGATGCTTTCTATATGTATTCCATTATGTACATATCATTTAAGATTTTAGATGTAATATTGTCTGATTGTAGGAAAGATATGTGGTAACATAATTTGATACCGTCATTTTTTTCTCTTTTGCTTAGTTTCAATTGTGATTTCTGGGACTAAACTTTTTAACATTGTTTCAATTTTGCGATTTTTTCATCTCTTTTTCTAGTTTTCTAGTTTTCTTTAAATATCCAATATATAACGCTTGGGTGTATTTGCATTTTCTTAATAATCGTGAAATTAGTGAAAATAAACCTTCAGATAATTTTCTACATATTCAATAGTTTTTTTTTTTATTTGCAACACAAGAACCTAAGCAATAAAAACATATAGATTGCAACTACTTAAACATGAGATAACCAATTCACACTCACTAGTCCATATATAGTACGTTGTACTGGAGCAATATGTTCTGCTACCTATAAGTAATAAAATGAACATTTAATGGTTGTAGTCACGCGGATAAATGTAAGTCACCGTAGTAGGACAAGTAGGATCTTGAAAGGCAAACGTTTGATTATGCATCCGAGATATTGTCGGTCGCAAGACCTACAGTCTAAGATCTTATTATACATTAAGACAGTCAGACTACAACAACGTTTTCAATTCTCTAGATAAATTTGACCTTTTGACTTGATGTTCTCAATTATCTAACATGCCATACTTTTTTATCATGGGCGTACCTGATGATAAAATTATCGAGCGATCTATTTTATATTATACAAAAATAAGGAGATGTGGTACAATTGTATACGTTTATTTAAAAAAAGAATTATTGGTATGTTGCTTATCGAAAGACACATTGAAATATCTAATAATCAAGGAACTAAACATACACAGTTCTTTTAAACCAATGCATCCTCTGATTTTATAATTTCGGGTATTCCTATACTAACGCAATTTGTTTTCTTAAGTCTAGTCGTAGTGTCGAGCTAATGGACAGACGTTAGCATGATATAACTTCAGTTTATAAGTATAAGAATGAAGACTCTTAAGTAACTTATGTGTTTTTTGGGGTGTCACTACAATATTTGGTTGGTTGTAAAAGACCCTTTAGGTTTTTATATTCTCACAATCTATTAAATTTTAGGGTATCAGACTAGTTTTCACGAGAGTAATTTCTGAAGTTTATTTCCTAAACACGTGCTGTGTACACGGCATTCAAATCAATTTTTTTATTACTGTGATCCAATATATTAATCAATTTCATATAATAATAATGAACATTTTACCTGGTTATCATTCGTGGAGTAGGAACTGAGTATTTACAGAGCTCATTGGTTGAGCACAGTTTTTTTTTGTTGCATTCGTGTTTATAAGTCTTTAGTTGTTTTATAAAGTCATTTGTGAATTGTATTTGTCTATTTGTGTGTTTTTTCTTTACTTTGACGATATTTGTATTTTTGATGTATATATGTTGATTGTCAACTATGTCTGCGTTTTTCAAGCTATTATTGTTTCTTTTTTTTTTCTTTTTTTTTGTATACAACAGTTCAAAAACGAAAATAACACTTGAGTTCATCTGTCCGAAGCGCTTTTCTAGATGTACTTTTATCAGGGTTGCTCAAAGTCGAACATTTGAAAGCCAAGGATGCATAAGAACGGAAACAGTTAAAGAGACCAACAAGGACCTAAAAAGTGTAAAGGCACATTACCCTAGCCACCATATCTTCTTCTATAGGGACGCCTGTGAGGAGACACAAACCACGTTCGTTTATTTCACGTACAAATCTACAATATTTACAACATATACGTTAGCAAACGGAACAATGATTATTTTCGAATAGTGAACTTGAATATCAATTGTGAATTAACTCCAATGGACTATGCCTTTAATTTAAAAAAGGCAAAGTTTCTTAACAAGTACAAAACTTTTGAAAAGAATGAAAGATTAACCAATTGTAAACTGTTGAAACTGCGTCTGTGTTTCTTTTAGCGAGGTAGGATAACATCACTGCAACATAATGTGTTACATATCGTTTTCGAAGCATCAGTGTCTGACTTCTGAATTACAATGGTAGGCAGTTGTAAAATGATTGTATATAATTACCGTGCTTTGTTGTTTTTATTTGATATAATATCACTGTACGCCATTTTTGTTATTGTCTGAAAAGAAAACACTGTTTTATTAAGTAACATTTAATTTCAATTAGAATTTCTTCATAAAATCTTTAAGCATGATAGCAAATATCTTTAATTGTTGTTTTTTGAAGTGTCGTACTCGTCCAGATAAGAAATATATCCGACTATAAGCCTAGAATATAATATGAATTTATTTCTTAAAATCAATGCAAAAAAATGCCTTTCTGAGTTTGAAACATATATTTTAAGGTAGCTATTCAATTGCTTAACAAAGATTTGAGTTTGGGAACAACACGTAGCAATTCCCTTGATCACGAATCTTAGTCTTCTTTTAATGCCCTTTTCTTTCGTCTTTTACCTTGTTTTGCTTATTGTATGTTTAGAGACAAGTATAACCAGCGAAATTTAAGTCAAAATATTAGTTGTTGTCAGAGATATTGATGGAACTGCTATGTACAAACATTTTGGTACAGCACAAAACAAAACATTGAACTTCAATTGTCGTTAGAACCAATTACCATATCATCATCTAAGATCCATGAAAATTTGTTTCCAATTTCACTGACAGACAATTTATTGTCTTTTAAAAATTTAATTGGAATCTGTCCTTTGTGGTCCGACCATTCTAAATGCAATACGTCACCTGTAAATGAAGGTTAATTTAACGAGGTATACGACTATTATCAGCTTTATCTTTCATTTTGTACGATGAATGTCATTTAAAAGAGGTCTAGCTATCACGTGACATTTTAACTGGTGTTCCAAAGTATAATTTATTACTATATGTTCAAAATAATAATATTTCAAAAAAACCTTTCACTGAAAACGTCAGTCCAAACCGGATAAAATGTGACATGAAATGATGGAACTATTTGTTTTTTCGTCTTAATAGCTACTGTCATCATCTTAGCAATGATTTGAAACGTCTCTTACTAAATTTTTGAGAGTTTATAATCTCTGTACGATTAAGACAAATAGGCAGACACTAGAAGAAATTGGAAATATAGCTTCTCAAATGAGTCTGTGCAAGTATGAAATATAAAGGTAGTGACAAGATGATTTTACCATTTTTTGAAATCTCTGTCGTTTTGACTAGTGTGTCAATATCAATATCAGCTACATCTACCAATCTCTGGCCGCTGTGCTGCTGTTTACACGAAGGACAATGACAGTTAAATCTCAGCCATACACTAGGAAATCTATCAAAAATTGAAAACATAGGAAATTTTGATTAGTTTATAACGCTTGATTGGCCAACATTTTATTTGAAAAAAAAATCTTCTTCCTTGAGTAATTTGATTGATTGATTGATTGATTGGTGTTTAACGCAACTTACTGCACTATTATGCTATTTCGTGACGGTAATTTGCTATTGGTGGATGGAAACCGTAGTGCCCGGAGAGCACAAACGACCTTCGGTAGGAAAACTGACAATCCTATTCAATTAAGATAGGAGTCGAGCCCACCTACCACTAGCGGGGTTCGAACTCACAACCTCAGTGTTGACATACTAGTTATGCAGTAGTTCGACTACTTCGACCACACGGCCACCGAGGCCCCTTGAGTAAATTCAATGAAAAAGCAAAAATTTACATTGGATAATACTTTGTCTAGACGTTAAATTAAAGATGACAAGAGATTGTAATGAGTAAATGCTTTTATTAGCTTAAATATAATGCTTGTGACACTTTTGGGCTTTACTTTATCACATTTAGATATATCATGCTATTATTTTCAAATTCGGTTGGCGTAGTTCTGTAGAACTAATTGATAGTATAGGATGATTTTAAGATTTCTAAAAGGATTGATACTTTAATTAATAATTTGATAATAATTATTGTCTAGCAAGACTCTTACACCAATGGTTCCGTTTCTTTGGAATGAATGGCGAGTAATTTACCACCATCTCTTATATCAGTCGCCACCTTAACATAAAAGAATAATGATTATATTTGTGTATCTGTTCCGGACCATATGAGTATTTGGACCATACTCGTATGATCATGACCATAAACGTATACTCATATGGTCCCACCATATGCGTATGATTGAACCATATGAGTTTATAGTCGTTTGGTTATTAACGGGCCCAACCATATGCGTATTTAGACCATATAGGTATTTTGCAAATGAATCCTAACTTCGTTCTCAGGAACACACAGCTCGTTTTTCGACCAAAATCGACACAAGTTACTTACTGAAATTCGTTATCTTTTACATGTTGTCTGAATCTTGATGTATCTGTTATTTTAAGCTTGCCTTCGGTAGAGTAAATTTGATACACCTCTATCCTGTTGACTGTCGGAATTGAGTTTTTTCTTCTTTCCCCGGTGTTTAGATTATTTTGTTTTTTTAAATTCGTGTAATTTCTACTCTTTTCTCTCAATTATTTGAAGTGTTCTTGGTCCTATTCATACATTCTTCCAATAACAGTAGTTTATGCGTGCTGCCCTCTATTTTTATTTATTTCACGTATAAACTACTGGTATTGTATAATCGTATGACTATGAGCATGAAAACATTAAATAACTAAATAATCTGAAATATTTAAGAAGTTGTAATTTACTAAAGAATAAATTAAAACACCAAAATAAAGATAAAAACGAAAAAGAGAGGGTGCAATGCAACATGTGCCTGTGGGTTTAACAGTTGACTTCTTGCTAAACGGGCTTATTTCGATATTACTTCAAAGTCGAAGTCGACATATTTCGTTTCGTAAGGAAAAAACAGCAATGACCATGCACAAATAATTTGGCTATCATTTTGATTTGTGAGTAAAATTCATTTATTTCATTAAAAATGAAACAATGATTACCATTTTATTAAATTAGTCACAATTTCAATTAAGAAACTTTTAACTTATGACACCTTGAAGGTTCATACCTAATGCAACGAACATCGTAGATACCCGGACCATACGCGTATGGTCGGACCATATGGGTAAATACGCATATGGTCATGACCATACGCGTATAGTCCAAATACTCATATGGTCCGGAACATATGCATGATAGCACAAGAAATACATTTTATTGTAGCCAATTTTCAATAAAGAAAAAAAAAACGTCTTGAACAGAACAGCATTTATCCTCATTATTATTGTTGTTGTTGTAAAAGTTTTAAAATTGTTGTTGTGTTTATAACGACAATGACTAAATATGTTCATTTTGTTTTAAACCAACTTAAGTATGTTAGGCGCATCGTTCAAATCTATTGAGTCAAATCATTTCCAACTGGGTTACAAGTGTATATTTTTGTTGTGCTGATACATCACTGTCTAAGGCAATGGTGGTGGTTGGTTGTTGTCTGTCATATTTGTTTTTGTTAATTGTTTTAGCATAAATCAGGACGTTGATTTTCTCGTTTAAATCGTTTTAAATTTTGTCACGTCGGGGTATTGTATCTGACTATACGGTACTGGTTTTGCTCATTATTGAAGCCGTACAGTCACTTATAGTTGCTGACATACACGTCATTTGGACCTCGACAAATTTTTAATTGTAAATCATACCACATTTCCGTATTTGTATCTACTTACATCTGACGAAGCCTTCGAAGTCAGGTTTCTACTGATGATTGGACAATATGAAATATTTGAATACAGTGTACCTGGAATCATTACGTATAGTTGTATACATTTTGTATTACTCTCTATACCTTCTTCAAAATAGTGGTATTAAACTAATGACAACATGTTTAAGCCTGGTTGGTATAATATGAAATATTAAGTGTAGTGTGTTTAATTTATATCCTCCAAAATATCCCCCCACCACGTCATCCAGATCTAAGACAATTGAAACAGCGAAAAAAGAAAACAAATGTAAAGGTGCTCACTCAAACAGAATATTAGATAAAATATCATTGTGAAAAAGGAGATACAAATAGACAAATATTTTTTTTTCTATTTTGACCATTAAAAACTTCAAATCCATTATATGATGGAAGGTGCAGAAAGACAGAAATACAACTCAATGATAAAAATAGATTAGAGAAAATAACAAATTGAGGAAAAGTATCCATTAAAATTCAGCGTAAACTTACATTATTGATCGGAATATTAAATATTAAGCTAAACCTACCTTTGTCCTGACATAAGAAGAATGATGAACTTTGGCGAATTAGGTTCTGAGTTTTCACAGAGTATGGAAGCCGACACTTTAAGACTCTTTTCAAGCTTGTCAAACTTAAACACCTCATGATTTAATTGCTAATAGGCAATAGTAAATGTGTGATGACGTCGATATATATGTCTATTTGCCAATAATCTGTTGATATTTTGACAAAGATACACAATCTGAAAGAAGTGGTTATATGTTAGTAAAAATGGTGTAAGTATATAATGAAGTTATTATCAGATTTGTTTCAACTGATCGGACGGAGCATACCTTTTAATTTGCATAAGGACATTCTATTTGAAGAAATGTGTAACACAGATGATTGCCTTTATAATCAATATACTGATTTGTAATCATTTATCAGTGTTACAAGCAGCCGTACAAATGAACTAATGTATGATATGGGACAAATAAAATAAAATGAAATTATCTATATGCGCTATAGATTAAGAGTTTTAAAGGATATGGCAATATTATTCTGTTTAAAACCTTTCCAATTATGAAATGAATATTAAACGTGATTTATAAAAAAAATATGTACATAAAATAAAATTAACATATGTTTTTAAGTTTTTCATTACATTTAACATACAAAATCTTAAAAAATGAAAATCTTTAAAGAAAGATCTCCGCGTTGTGTAAGCTAGAAATTCGATAAGGTGGACATACCATTTTCAAATATGCACATTTTTAAACAACAAATCGGACAGCTATATCAAAAGAAACAAAGATAAACAAAGGTGACCAGCGGAAAACGATATATTTTAGAAGACACACTGATAATTGAATCCCGTAAATAGACAGACCAAGTTGATATTTTGAAAAGTTATCTGATATATTGTATTGATCGAACTCTAATCTGAAATAGAGAACATCAAACACCAATTTCAAACGACTCCCACTTTGACTTTGATAGACTTAATAGACGAACAAAGATGACTAAGTTCGTAGTGTATGGTGACATAAATTCAATGTAAGAATAAATAATTTTATCTTACGTTTCCTATACCTTATCATATCTGGTTAAAGTGTTTCATATCTCAGTTATATTTTTGCGTAATCGATACAGTAAGTCTCCGGATACATTTTTTAACTGTAATACTTTTATTAATCATGGTAAAGTTTCATTGTATTTGGGCATTGTATCTATTGTTTGCATATTTTTGAGTTTTAGAAACTGTTGGTGAAGTTTTTTCATTGCCGATTTAAGCCTTGTTTTTCTTTTTTAGACTTCTTACAATTGAAAGAATTTGCTATTTTATTGTGTGCTTGCCTATATAGATATATAAAGTATATATGTTTTACTTCAAGTTTAAAAACAAGAACTTTTTCGAGAGATAACAAACATGCTAAAACTCATATTTTTCACAAATGATTATTTTGTGTAAACAATTATTCATCAGTGTTTGATTTGTTGATAAAATGGCTAATGGTGATTGTTTGATTTATCTGTTGTACAACGATAGGAAATCATATTTGAAAAAAAGATAACCGATGTTTTTACACTGTTATTAATAAACAGCCAATTAACGCGAATAATGCCACCGTACGCAACATATTAACATTCCCTTAGATTTTGTGTTACCATAATTTGTCTTCTTAATCAAATTTTGTGATTTGAACATCAGTAACCTACTATCTATATTTACATCTACGTCATTTGGACTCTGATGGATACATGTTCCATAGACAATCATACCACATCTCCTTATTTAAATATACAAGATTGGCACTTCTTTTCATAGAAAAGAAAAACAAATTTAAACTGACTTTAATTACCATCTTAACTTGTTGCCATTAAACCTCATCTTTTTAAAATAGGGGCATAAAATACAATAATGTTATGCAGAATTAGATCAGCATAAGAATGTAGAGATGTGAAATGATTTCCAAGTAGAAAACTAGCCACCATAGACTGGTCTTTATCAATGAACAAAACTTTTACTGTCAAGTCTGATATAAAAGGCCCAAACATAACAAAATGTAAGACCATTCAAAAAAGAGGTCCAACGGCCTGAATAACTTCAGTTTGCATCCAAAAGATAAAGCATTAAAAATCTTTGACAATGAGACAACTATCCATCAGAGACAAACTCACGTAAATGTGTGCAACTCTATGTCACCGTACGCTTTATACAATGAGCCAAACCCATACTTTAGCCAACTACAAAAAGGCCCTGACAACATAACAAAATGTAACATTTCGTCGGAAAATGCATGTACTAAATTAGGAGTATGACAGTTGTTTTCCGTTCGTTCCATTGTTTTATTAGGTCTAACGTCTGATTTTGTCAGTTTTATGAACTTCCTCATTTTCAATTTACCTTGGACAAATAAATGTTAGAGTTCAGTATTTTGGTAATACTTTTTTTTATCAAATGAGGAATCTAGTAGCCTACGTACAAAACAGCCTAATTTATGTACACAACAATAAACGATTATTTTGAATTATTTCCAATTAGTTTAGATTGATATTGTATGATAGTAGTTGACCCAACACGTTTGAGGCAAATGTTTCTGAAATGCAAATAGAAATGCAACTAATACAAACTGTATGCACACTTAAGTAGAGTATTGTGCGTCACATAAAACAATGGGTATCATTAGTCTTGTTTGTAAATGAAATAAATGTATTGTTCAGTTTTTTGGGGGCTGTTATGATCAAAATATCCGTTTCAAATCAAAATGTGTTTCCTAGTGTATATTTCCGTTTGCTCATTCGTGATCTTTATCGCACTTGGCCCCTGGATATTAAAAGTATGGACAAACGATATGTCAAAGTTTTACATAATTACCAGTTTTGATTACACTCTGTATTCCCAAGAGGTCTGATTTTTATGGTTCTCGTATGTTTTTATTCTTATTTCGTATATAAGTGTTAATGATTTTTCCTTGATTATCGTCTTTTTAATTTCCCTCTGGAGACAATTGGTCTGTCATGTGCAAATATCTGAAACTACTTAATCATTATTCATCTATTCATCTCTTATGCACTGACATATTTACACAAATTTTAAATCGTATGTTTCTATTATCTGTGTTTGTTGAGACATAATAATTTTAATAGACGGGAAGCATAATATTCCGAGTGTGCATGTTAAGGTCATATGAAGTCTTTCTAGGTTGTTAGCTGGCTTAATGACTCATGCATACACTTATTTGTTTCTCACATCCGTATCAAAAATGTTATAAATAGTTGTACAGATAAAGAAAAGTTTGCGTCCTTCTCTTGATGGTGCTAGTATTTCTTTCAAATAATTTTTTTTTCTGGCTACGCCATCAAACATTTTGAGGTACTGAGTTTTTTTAGAAAGACTTCTTCTCGGCAAGACTGAATTCCGTTTCATTTTAAAACTACTTGTTTTTAAACATTGTAACCAGTGGTAGAGCTCTTGATATCAAATAATATATCAAAAACATGTAATTTAAATTATTCTTTGTAGGGGTCAAAATATTGAAACCTAAGACTTTATGCTCGACTGAATACATACCACTCTGTTTAACACCACGAACAGAGCTTTACGTGCATTGTCGTGATGTTATATATATCATTTATCTTGTAAAGAAAGTCGGTCTGCTACGTTACATTCATCTTAAATACATTAAAATATTAAAACAGATAATGTGTTTTATTTCTACTCAAAGACTAATCCATTAAAACCATAAAACTCAACGAATTATTATTTTTTTCGATAATGACGTCATCAAATATCTCATTTTTGTCTAACAGAAAACAAATATTTCTATTTTTACAAAATGAATGGTTAAATCTATAGAGGTTTGTGGGCAAAAGGAAAGACAGGAAATTAGGAATCGAAAACAATAACAAAACCGTTCGTCAACTCAATAAAAACATGACGACAAAGTTATGTAGTTATTGACAAGCGACCTCCTAAATAGGCAGTCTCAAACATGTGATTCCAATAACCCGTTAATGTTCTTTCAGTAGTGTAGATAATTGACAGACATGACATACATGACAGACATCCTTGCAGTTGACTCCCTTCAGAAAGCTAGTACGACTTTTCCAATTCGATTGAATAATTTTACAGTGGTATAGATCTGTGATTTGTGTTATTTGTCAAGTATGGTCCAAAACTACACCTGACTGAGATATTAGAATGTTCGCTTTTTACGTAAACATTGTTTTCGAAATTCCGTTGTGTTTTGTATACACATGTTTGCCTTTGGTCTTTTTTTTTTTCTTTTTGTGCGATGATATTATCAATTTATTTTCGACTTTGAATGTCCTTTTGGTATCTTTTGCCTCTCTTTTATCTTTATTATCATCATTTTATTTTTCTGACGTTAATCATACATCGCCTGCAGTGATTGTTTTAGAGATGATTGCACTTTCCCAGTGCAAAGGTATAATTATATAAGACAACAACAAAAATGACTCTGTTTACTTCTCCTTATATCACCTGGGTCATAATTAAGCCAAATTTTATTTGAAAGTTGAAACACGTTTGTTTATAACAATGGACTTATTTCTGCAGGTTACAATATAACTGAACAAACATATTAATCTCACATATGATCTGGCAAGTTATTGTTGATGGTATTTTAGGAACATTTCATGCGCATTGTCATTCAACGTTTTTTTCACAATTTTCTTTTCAGAATAGAAAAAAAAGAGAATTCGTTCTGACATTTCCGTAATCGTTTTCTTATATTTACAACCAACCTCTTACAAAAAAAATGTTTCTACCATGGCCAGGAACAAATCAAGATTGATAATTCAAGAGAATTAGTTATTAAACAACAACGGTTTAAAAGAGGCCTGAAGGTAATATTAAATGCTTACAGAAGATATTGGAAGTGAGAGATCGTGATATGAAAGATAGAATGTTACTTGAAATTGACGGTGATCTTACCTTAAATTCTACCTGCATACAAGTACGTCAACAATTTATCATCAGCAATAAAATGAATGTGTTATCATTATCAATAGATAAAATGTACGATTATTAATACACCCGACACGTTACAGTAAATGTAATTATTTGTATGTCAAACTAGGCAACAGTCAATGTGATTAAATACATAGTTATAATAGCGTCATTTGTTTTTATTTTCTGCTTTCAGATAATTAATACTATAATTATATATATATATATATATATATATACTTTTTTAAATGACTGAATAATAGCCAACGATAAATCTTACGGGGCGATGGATCATATAAATATGATACAGTACACTACAAAATATAATATATAACCAGTCTAAAAGGGTATTTTTGGTTTGTTATTTGGTTTTTTGTTTTTTTTGTTTTTTTTTTTTTTTTGGGGTCGGTTGGGATATTCCTTCGTTACTTAGTCAAGTTTATCATATAATTCACTTACTCCAATGGATCGTAACTGGCGTATGAATTCATCTTTAGTCGTTTTGTTTGTATTATCCACTAAGCATTTTAAAGTGGACTAAACATCGTGTGTGACACTGGTATTCTGGCTTTACATCAGAAACTACATCGAGAAAAATAAATTAGCATCCATATTCTAATTTATATTTACATATTTTTTTAATATATGTCACATCAAAAATATTACTAAACACTGACTTTGATCTGAAGAGTGATATGTATATAATAGGTTTATTCACCGGACGGTATAATTTGTCGAGGTTATTCACAGGTTCTGTCAATTTGGACGAACATTTTCGAATTAGTTCAGACCACGTGATCTTTTATTGGCCAATAGATTTATTCAATTATACTGCGAGTTATAATAATACTGCATACTCAGATAGAATAAGATTTTCTCACATACTTGTAAGCATTAGGGTTTGCACATAATAACCGCAAGTTAACCAAAGTCAATAATCTGCCCGAAGTAAACAACCGGTCAGTTTATCGTGTTCTCCATGACGTCATTAGCGTTTCCACTTCTAATGGCAGACGAGGAAGATGCTCGTTTTGTCAACGTCAAGTAGAATGACAAGGGAATTATCTTAAGATGGAAAGAACACTAACATTATAGTGCATGATAACTTCTTGGTGAGGGAATTCGATGTTTGCTTTACCACTGTTCATTTCAACGCACTTTATGACAATACCACTATACCAATCAGAATGATTTTTTGCAGTGTTTAAAGAATGGATTTTACTTTGTATCCATGTATTATTTGTGAAACATTAAATGTATTAAAAGAGCGTATTTTCTATATAAAGTCAATAATTATGTAGGACTTTTGCAGCCCAAACTTTCTATTGCCTTAAATACGCAAATGAAAGTTTCGAAAACTATACCAATACAGAACGAAATGTTTTTGAAATTATAGCAAAACGTTTGGTTGACAAATATTTATTGGTTATTGCAAAAAATGAACTTAAAATTATCTGTCATTTTCTCCCTACCCAGTTTACCCCAATTACTAATTATAATGTGGACCGGTCATTGTTATTGAATCTTACGCAATTTGATTGGATTAAGTTCTTATTAGTTTACCTTCAAGCTGTTAATTTTTTTTTCATACACGTGTATTGATTAAATCAGAACATGCATGAATGTGTACAGTAGCTTAAATGATCTTCAAACTAGACACTGGAAAAGTCCATATTATTTTTTTTTTTCAATGAAACTAAAAGTATGAAAGGTAAGAATTGCCAATTCTTATATTTTCACAAAACTTTCCACATATAGAGTATATAAATTTTTTTTTAATGACCTATTCCGGAGAAAAAGAGAAAGTTTCCAAATGAGACGTGTTATTCCATTAAACAAGTCATTTTTCGAAGAGAAATGCCGAAAAACATTTTTCCGTACTGCTACGCCAGGTAAAATTATTGTTTATTTTAACATAAAAATAACATTTTTCAGTCTCATTATTATGTTATAATTACAATTGATCCTAAACAAAAGTAGTCAGTAAATAAAGTCAAAATATGTCCGATCTGCTTTTTTTGGACACCAAAATTCAAAACGATCGTTTTAAGACTATTTCGTCTACCTCACAATATCTTATTATGCACTATAAAAGAAAATATGACATTGGCATTGTAATGTTCAATTATTGCAATTAAAAGAACTTAGTGAAAAAGGTCTTTTATTAGTTGTCAAAATGGCTCATACAAGCTTTCCTGTAATTTAATGTGCCATACATATAACCAGGTTTAATCCACCATTTTTTACCAAGTCAGATATATGACAGTTGTTTTCCCTTCGTTTGATGTGTTTTAGCTTTTGATTTTGCCATTTGCTAAAGGACTTTCCGTTTTGAATTTTCCTTTGAGTTCGGTATTTTTGTTATTTTACTTTTTATACAAGAACACACTAAGGAATTATATGCACTTAAATGGGCAAACATGTTAATACTTATTTACGACAAAAAAACTTCAAAGCAAATCGGGGACAATAACTTCACATTCTCTTGGACAGATTGCGCGTCTGGCGTACACAATTTTATCCTAGTATCTGTGATGAGTTTATTATTCAAGGTTTTACTTTGGAACTGTTATGGGGCTTTGTAATGAAAATATTTCAGTGGATAAAATGTTTGGATCTTGCCAGAGTATAATTTAGACTTTTTTTTATGCATTTGTTAAGTATGTGATAAATGGATTATAACGTGCCCATTTCAATTTCGGCCCTGATATCATCCATCGACCCATATGAGCTCCGGATTTTGTCTTGGGCTGATATGGGAGTACATTTTATCAGGTTGGTAACAGGGACTATACGGAAAAGGGTATGTTATGATATATAACAATTTGCTACCCATTACTTTATGGCTATAAAACCAGGTTTAATCCATCGTTTTCTAAGAAGGAAAATACCTGTACATCGTCAAGAATATGACAGTTGTTTTCCGTTCGTTTGATGTGTTTGAGTTTTTGATTTTGCCATTTGGTGAGGGACTTTCCTTGGAATTGGTTCTTTTTAAATATTTTACTTTTTTTTATGTCGCTACATACTTTTGAACACAATTATATACAATTATTTCATTCCTGTAAATAATCTGAACATAATTATACTCGTGTTCTTTTTGAAACAGTTAGATATATACAGTTGACAGATGACCACTACTGTCCCATAAACTGATCCATTAGGCTTGTGTTTATCTGAAACTTATATTGTAATTTTTGGTCTATTGATCAGATAAGGTTGCTACATTTGAGTTTTCTTTCCATTTTCCATGTTGACCTATTCGGCTAAATACTGACTATGACCACTGTGTTATACGATGAATGTTGCTTAAAAACTGAGCTACTCAATGTTTTGAAGGAAGTTCGTATTACCTAAATGTGAAGGTTTTGTGATCGCTGTTCTCATACTTTTGGTAAAAAAACTTGTCTCGTTGCGCTTTCATTATTTAGCACCTTTTTTTAACTAATTTGCTTTATTTTTTCCTACACCTGTTATTTGTTATTTAAAATATAGATTCGATCTCAAGAACACAAAATGAAAATAGCGAGTCTTATACTTATTATCCCTGCAGCCTACAAAAAGTATATACGAGAACATAGGTAAAAAGGAAACTATTGATGTACACATATTTTATGCAAGAATTTGACTGTGATATCCCTTTCATAAGAGAGAAACATAATAATTTTAGTTCATATATTTCTGCATGAAATCTATATTTTCAAATTTGTTGTGATACTGCAGGTAAGCAATTTATGTTTTACGATGTGTTTATGTTTTCTCTCTCTGCATATCAGTATTTAACATCATCGTATATCTGTTCCAAGTTTGGTTCCTTTGTTCCTTTGTTCGTTGTATTGTACGTTTGTCCTTCGATGTTGTTCCGTCTGACGTCTTCATACGACCTTTAATATAGAAATAGTAAATTCTACGTTTTAATTTGTTTTATAAAGGCATTCTGCGATTTGTACAAAGTCGTGAAGTTAACTTAATAAAAAGTGTCTAGTATAAAATTCAGAAGTGGTGCATCGACAAGAACATCCGAAACTCGAGTTTATCTTTGAAATATTATGAGTATTTATTTAGATTTTACAGTCGAAACATAACAAAATTCTAATTTTATCTACAAAAATGGAACAATTTTGACATTTTCACCACAAGTATGCCAGTACCACAAGCATATTTACATGACAGTTGTTGACTTTTTGGGACATCATAACTGTATTTATTGTGATATCATGGATAAAGAAACTACTTGTTTTTAATTTTGCATTACCTGAACTTAAAAACAGATACAAATTGCAAACTTAAATTAAAAGTTTAAATTTTAGTGAAAATTTAGGCCAGATAAGGCCTAAATAGCACCCTGCCCGTAAACGAATTAAAATTACCCTTAAGTTGCAGATTTGTTTTTATTTTACATACAATTTGAGTGCATTTTGATATTTAAAATGTTTTTGATAATGAACATTATTCTTTTGGTTTTTTTAACTACCACTGCTATTAATAACCAGAGAAACGTCACAATATATACCCTAAGTAATGTTATGCAGGAACGTGTAATGGTACTATCATTATCATTTTTATTACTTCCTGTTAATTGTAAATTGTCCCCCCATAACAAAAATCAAAAAAACAAAAATAAATAATCAGATGACAACACGAACAAAGAAAGACAACATTAGGACAAAAAAAGACGAAAATAAAAACAGGTGTTTACAATACATTACACAGAAAAATGAATGCTGAGCAACACGAACACAACACAATCTGGGCTTGGAAATATATGTAGGGGGCTAGTGAAGTTGACCAGTTAAAGCTCCTCAAGTTATAGAATAGTGTTATAAATGTACTCGTTTTAAAATTCGAAATCGAAAACAGTGATATGCATATTGTCTAACCAAAATATTTCAACAAGTATTTAGAAATTTGATAAAGTAAAATCCTATAGTCCAGATATATGTATAAAGTTCGAGAGTGCATGTTCGTTACGTAAGTGCGTCACTGTTTGTGATGTCCTGTGGTGTCTGACGTTGATGGAAGATGTTCGTTTTTGTTCTGCGGTTTGCATGTTGTGTCGACTATCATATCATTTGTTTGTGTGTTTCTCTGTGATGAGTGTTCTTGCGTGTGTTTGTGCTGTATTTCTGTCACGTAGTTTGCGATATTTTTTCCCATTGTCATATAAGCGGGAGGTTTTGCTAGCCATAAAACCAGGTTCAACCCACCAATTTTTCTTAAAATGTGCTGTACCAAGTCAGGAATATGGCAGTTGTTATCAAATAGTTCGTTTCTATGTATGTTGGCGTTTGTTTTTTTGCACTTCAGTGTACCTGTTAGTCCTTTGTTTTCCTCTTATAGTTGATGTGTGTCCCTCGGTTTTAGTTTGTAGCCCGGATTTGTTTTCTCTCAATCGATTTATGACTTTTGAACACTGGTATACTACTGTTGCCTTTATATATTAAGCGAATGTAAAACAAAAACATAATTATTCTTTTTGAAATCCAAGTTAGAAAATATAACATACTCAACGCAAAGTATAAGCAAAGTAAATACCAAAACCAACAAAAAATAGATAAGAAAACTAAGGGTGAAATCAGGTGATCCGGAAAGGTAAACGATTCATATTCAACTAGTTGAAACCATCATGTTGCTGAATAAAATGTTGATTATAATTCGCATTTGTTGGGAAATAAACTAGAGGCTCTCAAGAAGCATTTGTATGTATTTCCCATAGGGTCTTATGTTAAAGGAAGTCCCCCCACTGGCGGCCATCTTGGATGAAGGATCGGCTTCAAAGTAACAACACTTATTCAGCATCTCATAAGGAACATTCATGCTATGTTTGGTTTAAACCCATTCAATGGTTCTCTAAAAGAAGACATTTGTATGTATTGTCCAAAGGGTCCTTTGTTAAACATTGTCCTCAATTGGTGGCCATCTTGGATAATGGATCGGCTCCAAAGTAACAACACTTGGTCAGCACTTCATAAGTAACATTCATGCCTTGTTTGGTTTCAGTCCATTCAGTGGTTCTCTAAAAGAAGACATATGTATGTGTTGTCCATAGGGTCCTATGTTAAACTAAGTCCCCCGCTGGCGGCCATCTTGGATTATGGATCGGCTTCAAAGTAACAACACTTGGACAGCACCTCATAAGGAACATTCATGCCATATTTGTTTCATTTCATTCAGTGGTTCTCTAAACGAAGACGTTTGTAAATATTTCCCATAGGGTCATATGTTAAACTAAGTCCCCCGCAGGCGGCCATCTTGGATTATGGATCGGCTTCAAAGTAACAACACTTGGTCAACACTTCATACGTAACATTCATGCCATGTTTGGTTTTATTCCATTCAGTGGTTCTCTAAAAGAAAACATTTGTAAATATTTCCAATAGGGTCCTATGTTAAATTAAGTCCACCGCTGGTGGTCATCTTTTATGATGGATCGGCTTCAAAGTAACAACACTTGGTCAGCACCTCATAAGGAACATTCATGCCATGTTTGGTTTAATTCCATTCAGTGGTTCTGTAAAAGAAGACATTTGTATGTATTGTCCATAGGGTCATATGTTAAACAAAGTCCCCGCTGGCGGCAATCTTGGATGATGGATCGGCTACAAAGTAACAACACTTAGTCAGCGCCTCATAAGGAACATTCATGCCATGTTTGGTTTTCATTCCCTTTAGTGGTTCTCTAGAAGAAGTTCAAAATTAAAAAGTTAACGACGACGACGACGGACGACGGACGCCAAGTGATGAGAAAAGCTCACTTGACCCTTTAGGCCAGGTGAGCTAAAAACGAGGAATGGAAATTACAATTCAATAAAAAGAGCAAATGATTATAATATTGCGATTCTAGAATTTTACATTGACTAAAAGTGATCGCCGAATCAACTTGGATTTACATAGTTCTAGTGTACTTTCAAGAAAATAACCGTCTTACTTATTGATAATTTAGATTTACTTATATTTTTTTATTTTCCATTTGATAATATAAAGTTTTAATTTTTTTACATACCTTTGTTTTGTAAACACTATTCTGCCTGCAAGCAAAGAAGACATTTATTATTTGAAATTCTACGTTACAAATATATAAATACATAAAGAGTAGACAAATAAACAAAAACCCAATAACATCATGAAAGTAAATAAAGAAATATTAGGTTGAGCATACGGTTTCTTTACATTTTGCGCCTGAACCAGTCAGACTTTCTTAACTTAACGTTGTTTGTTGCTATTTGTGTTAGTTTTTACGTTCATTCGGATAGTGGTTGGTATTGTCTGGTTTGTTAAATTGTCCAAATTATTTGGTTACTTCTGTTATCTTGGTATGCGTTATTTAATAGGCACGTGTCAATACTGTATGTCAAACTACATAGTTGTCCAAGCTCAGAAATTTAATGAACATGTATAATGATTGTAGTTTATATTCATATTGATTTATATTCAGACTGATATGCACAATTTTTACCCCTCACGTGTTTTTTCACTTTTCATTAGTCTTCAATGGTTATTCATCTTGATGAGAAACCTTTGATCTATTCGTTTTTCATTCATAATATACTGATGTTTGTCGATTGATGAAAACCATATGTTGACCTCTAATTGTGTCTTGGTTTATTTCTTCGGTTGTTTTTTTTTTTTTTTTTTTCTTTTTTTTTCTTTATCAAACACCAACGATTTTTCTTTTGAACAAACACCAACGATTTTTTTTTGAACAAACAACAATGATTTTTCTTTTGAACAAACACCAACGATTTTTTTGATAAATTAGTTGTACAACTAAGAAATCATGCAATTTCGATTGTTTTTATCTTGTTTCGGTGTATATAAAGTGCGAATCCAGTTAATTCATTTTTACTGTCGTATGCGAGTATGTCTATTGTAGAATAAAGAAGATGGGGAAAACTGAGTTTGTTTACTTTTTGAAAATACAAAATGATTGATTTAAATGTAAGTTTTAACACAATTTCATTAGAATATAACTTTTTAATGTATAATAACAGGATTGAAGTCCAAAAAAGTGTAATTAAAGCATCTGAATCCTTAATATTGATTATTGAATGCGATTCATTTTAACTATAAATGCGATGCATTATCACTGTAAATGCGATCATTTCTGATGTGGAATTTTTGGAGGTGCGATAAATTTTCATTGTTGTTTTATATGATAATTCGACATGCAACAACTGAAAATAGTCTTTTAATGACCTTAATATTGATGATATTAACAATTTGAAATGTAAGCTAGTCGTAGATGCTTACTTGAATATACACGGGTATAACCAATGTATGGTTGATTCCGGACGTTGTGCGTTGTGTACCGTTCGTCGATTTTTATTTCGTTGCGTGTTTTCGTCATAGTTCTGTACCGTTCGTAAGTAAAACATCAAGAACATAATTAGCTGTTTCTATTGAAATACCTATCTTTTATTTTTTGTTAGCAAGGATTTACAACTACTAAAACTATTTGACATTTCTACCATTTTATATTGAACATTAAACCAGCCTGAATTTTGTATTTATTTGACGTGAAACATATCTTACTAGAGATAGAGAAGCCCACTCATCGGGAGCGCCTGGTTGCAATCCAGTTTCTTAGAAATCCAGTATTTTGATCTAGAGGTCAAAGGTCAAGCTCACACGAAGGTCAAGATAATATGTGTCACATCGCCTTAAGGTGAGACACGTTCATCTCATGCATATTCAAATATTTTTGGTGTGTTTGCTATTAGTGTGTCATGGATCCGAAAATATACTGGAGTAGAACATCCATGAATATGACGTATTTTTATGGCGAATTTTCTTGGAAAAGTTTTAGTACTTGCTTAAAAGAGCTTTGAAAAACTGCCACGCCGTTTCATACATGTTTCTACCATAGTGATAGGCTTTTTGCACAGCGAACAGTAAAAGAATGTACAACGAACGCTACTAAAGAAAGCAAACAAACTACAAAAAGAATGAATATATTATTTCTTATTTTATTCAAAAATCATGAATGTGTCGTCTGTTTATTTATCATTCTACATTAGAAATTCATAACGAATACAGTGAAAATGGTATTTCAGGATTCGCACATTATATACACTGTTGTTTCGTCTGTTTATACCTAAACTTATGATATATGCACCAATTTTTTTTTATTAACTTTACATTTGGAATTTTATGTATGTGCTACATTATTTGGAATTACGAATGTTTTAGGATTCTTCTAGTAAAAATTGGAATTCTAATTTTTGTTAGTAGAAATGGGAATTCTCATTCCTACTAGCAAAAATCAAGTACAAATCGGAATTTTATTATCTGTTAGTAGAACTTAGAATTCCAATTTGTACAAGGAGGATTATAAATCATATTGAATCTCAATGTATACGGTACAGCAACATATGATGCCTTAAAATATTGTATGAAAACATGAATTTCCAAGTTATATCAGCGTTCCAAGTGAGACCAATATTTGGGAAACAATCCGCCTAGCCTTGTCTGTAATTAATAGAATTGTCTGCAGCCAGTCTCTTGGTGAAAAATCAAGGAAAATTTGAAAACTAAATTACATTCATGTAAATTGTGCGAGACGCGTTACTAGCGGTGTGGTTTCTTTCAAAAAAAGTATTGTCTCTCTCTACATGGATACTATTTAAAAACTTACCTTTCCGAAAAAGGATGAAACCTATTACACATTCCATAATTTGTGTCAATACTAGTACCACTACAAATCCTATCAGGATATTTCTACCCGTTACTAAACACTCTGAAATAAGATGAAATCCTATTATCGAAGGTAGTTTTTACCGGGGTGGACACCCTTGAGAGGTCAGGATCCAATCAGGACAGTTTATCCTTGACTGGAAATTTATAGTTTAAACTTTTACTAAATGCACGAAATTGTGTAATCTGAAAATTAAATATTTCATTATAAAAAGGATAACTTATATCTACACTAAGTCTCATTAAATGTAAAAACACAAAAACTATCAACGAAAAGAATGAATTGAGTCCAAACACTTTAAATTTAATTTCTTGCATGTTTACAATTGGTTATGTTCTTTATGAAAAAGTTAGGAAAGTTTCAACAACAAGAAGTATAGACATTTAATCCATAAACGATACAAATTAAATTAAAGTACCATTGTGAGAGAGTGGCCTTTCTGTAGATGTTTCATCTGTATCTAAAGTGAAAATAAAAATCATAATGTATCGATTTACTTTGCATGTATTTACAAGTAATTATATAAATATCTGTATTGCCAACATTTACATGGCGTCTTGTTTAACCTCGATGTAAATATGGAATTTAAAATTTTCAAATATTTCCATACGGAGTGTTTGGGTTTTAATTGTGGGATGCATTTTTCTTTATGCATTGTCTTAATAGAAAAATAATCAACAATAATTAGTCGAAAGACAAAGAAAACTACACAGCTAAAGAAAACGTGACAAGAAGAAAAATAAGCAGTTTACAGAACACTACGCAATTACTATAAACTGTGATACACGTATACAACAAAAAAACTATAATTGACATCATTTGCTCCAGAACCTGCTCCTTAAGTAGAAGCCGTCGTGTTGCTAACGACAAGTTAAAAGCCATGGCATGTCGCAATCGATGATATCCATATCAAGGAAAAGAGGACGGGACTGCGGCTGCATGTTTATAACTTTCATTAGCGTCAAAGAGTAATAATGACACCACAAAAAAAAGTTTGCCGGTTAATGTGTTAAATTTGGATTACATGAAGTCCCAGTAACCCGAAAAAAACGGCCCTGTAACGGTGGATTTTTTTAAATTTTCAATTATTTGAGTATATGAAATGTGTATGTATTGATAGATGTATTATTTTATAAAGTATAATAAGAAAAGTTGTATATCTACTTCATAAATTATTAATATTTTTGCCTAAAATAGGAATATATTTCGTTTTAGTCCTTTTTCTAGAACAAGATTTGTCACTTTTTTCGACCTTTTTCATGGTTTCATATGGCGCCACACTCGCCCATTAGAATTTTAGTTGAAAAGTAAAAAATATGGAATTATACACGATATTTCGGCAACAATATGTGTTGTCAAGGGAAGGCGCCACTGTTAATTTAAAAAAAAAACTATCATTAATTCTGCCAAATTCTGCAAAAAAAAAAAAAAAGGACCCAGTTTTAACGAAATTCCCCTACATTTATGAAGTAGTTATGACGCACTAATAACGCAATCGCGAAAAGCTTCAGCAATCTTTAACTGAAATAATAGGACATTTTAACATATTCATTTCATGTTTTCATCAAATTGCCATAATATTTTCGCCAATAAAAAACAGATTTTTAGGGCCAAATGTATGAGTAAATGAACTAACTTCATTCGAACTTATTATTCTGCAGTTGTGCTATTCCACAATTTACAGGTGTGCCGTTATCAATGTCTAGCAAATAATTCTGCCTAACCGTTGGTGCAATGTAGTGGCCGTCTTTAACTGGGAATTTACTGCGAGCTTTTGCTCTATGTTCAAGGCCTTGCTCCGACTTTTCCCAACGTGGAACAGTAATAAAATCGCTGTCCCCTAGCTTTAGGTTTCGTCGAGTGCGCCAAAGGAAATTGTTTCTTGAATTTTTACACAAAAGTCTTTCTTTCTGTACTAAATGGGATACTCGATTAGTAAATTTAACGTCCAGTTAATTGAAAATATTACATTTAATTAGTACGAGATTATGTTATATGAATGATAACCCAGTTTTGTACAAGGCCGACACGCTGACCAGAAATTAGACATGCTAGGTAACAATCCAACAGAAAAACCTGACACCCTATTTAAACACATTATTCTGAGTCCGAGGCGATCATTTTTCGCTCTTACTACTTAATGCCACGTACAAAAAAGAGAAACAAAGAAATATTACCAATTGTTTATACTTTGGTTTGACCCTTTCGGGGATAGCACAATAAACCAACAGGCTATCACGATACAACAGATATGATTTATTTTCTACTAAAAAAAATCATCTAAGATGTTATTTATATTGCGTAAATATACATATGGTTATTTTTTAAATGTCACTATTGTAATACAAATTATGTAAATTGATTGGTTTAATTACTGATGTCCCTGGATTTATATTAATTTTCCAATATTCTGCGTTTTAGTGATTCATGTGTAGAATCTTGAACATCTCGGCTAACAAAAATTGGAATGAATGTTAGAAATGAATTATTCATAGGTTAACATTAGCTTAGAACTGGCTTTATGTAACTGCCAGTACTCTTAGGTTGGTACTTTGTGTTTTCGTTACACTTCACTTCTGATGACGTAAACCCTTTCCAACTTATGTTTACAATTTGTTTATATATTGTGCTTGGATACCACTGTCTCAGGTTAGAGGATGAGTGAGCACTCAAAAAGATGTTTAACCCCGCCAAAATCTGTATATGTCTGTACAAAGTCTGGAGCTCGTATTCATTAGTTGTATTTGGGTACCTTTCTGTCATCTTTGTTTTTCGTTCATTGTTTTCAGTATTCATCAGGCCATTGTTTTTTTTTTTTTTTTTTTTTTTTTTTTATCTAATTTGAAGTGTTTCACATTTTGTCAAGTTTGGGCCTAGCTTACTATACGGTATAGGTTTTGCTCATTGTTGAAAGCCGTACGGTGACGTATCGGTGTTTACATCTTTTTTTTTTCTTTTTGTCTAAGGTGGATAGTTGTCTCATCAGCAAAAATACCACATCTCCTCTGTGAGTTGTTGATTCGACGATGAATAGTTACCTTAGATGCATTTAATAAATGCGGGAAGAAATTAAGATGAAATAAAGAATTGAAAATAAGGAGGTAAAATTTTCGAATTTGTACTTATTAAACAGATATATAGTTGTAACGACCCGTTAATTTCGATCTGATAATTAAGTCATAATTTTGGTTACAATTAGGTTATAATTTTGGTTACAATAAAACTCTCTCTCTCTCTCATAGATAAAAAAGTTGGAATAAACCAATGTTCAACAGTTCTGTAATCCTATATAGCAATTATATATATAAAAAAATACTCGAGATATGTATGTATTCACAGAACAGGGATAGCTGGAAGTGCGTAATCAATTTTCTGTGTAGGAAGCCAGGACCAAATTTAGAATAAAAAAAGTCATTATTCATGCAGTTCCTACGTATGCTCATATGTTTGATGTTGATTAATATGTGTTATATGGAACAGATATTTTGTTTGTTTAAGAAAGTAAAAAAAAAATCTCTTCAATCTTCTTGGTTATTTATACAATAGGAATGGCTGTATATAATAGATTCATAATCTTTTTTTTATTTATTTATTTTGCCGACTTACAAACAAGCAGCCTGTGTTGACATGTGTTAACGTAATGAATATTACGAATCTCTATGTTTCGTGTCAGGTATCAGAGCAGATTTTACTGTCTTTCTTTTCATATTAATTATCAATTTCATGCAAGGTAAATATCACATAATTAAAATTAACAATGTAAGAAATCAAAGCATGACGAATGAAATATTATTCTACAATCAACCTTCAGTAAATCAAGACTTTCATATGGCTTTTTCAATTTCACATCCGTGTCGACCCGAGACACCAATATAATCTCAAGATCTCTGCTCGTGGAATAATATTTCTTAAGGGATAATACGGGGTTTGATATTGAAAAAAAAGCCATATCATAATAAACTTTATTATTTACACAAAGATGTCGTGAAATGAAATTGGATATCCTTCAGTTATCATGTTTTTCAATAACATGATCAAATCCCTGAAAGACACACCCACCACCCACCACTCCTAAATTATTGAAAATTATCATTCTGCATTGACAATAACATATTGGTGTAAATAAGATACACCGATTCGGGCTAACGCCCTCAAGGTGTATGTTATATATATAGCACGCCTTTTTCGAATTAACGATTAACGTATTTAATTCACGAAATGAAAGCGTATCTTTGAGTGGATTAAATATGTTAACGAGTAAGGCGTGGCTATATATGATTTGTAACATTAATGGGCGATGACACATGTCAAAGGTTAAACTAAACTGTACCTTTCATGAATTAAATGTGTCATTCAAATAGTGGCGCTTTCTATGACAAAACGTCTCTTATTTTCGGAAAAAAAAACCCTCCTGGATCGCGTTTTGTAGTAGGATTTGATTTATTGATATATGTACATGTAAATGAATTGTTGCCGTGATACGTTCATCAAGGTTTAAAGACAAGAGAGCGATTTATGTGTTATTGAAGTGCCCCCCCCCCCCTTTTCCCTCCGGGGCAAAAATTCTTGAGGGGATAGATGCAAAATCATCTTGTTTGATGTATACATGTAGCATTCTGCATGCTTTCAAAACCAATAAGACGTGTAGTTTTAGAAGAGGTAACAGAAGGAAACGGTTTTTAAACTTATTGTGAATGTATTCTGCCTTTCCCAACACCATGGAAATGATCGATTAATAGTTGGGCTGTTGATTACGTAAGGTCAAGAGATAAATATTTAAGCATGCTCAAATTACGGAGATATACCTTTAAAATGTGGAGGAAATGAAACGACTAAAAATCCAGTGACAATTTTTTTGAAATATTTATATTGACACGATAAAAACAAGTATCCACCTGCTCTTCGTTTATAAACCACGTTATTCCTTTTTGCAGCTCTCCTCGAGCATTCATTTGTTTCAAGTATTATTTTTATATATTGTTGTGTATTCATTTTTGTTTAAGGTAGATCATAGGTATATATTTTCTCAGATAGAATTTTTTTATACTTTGCCAAAATAAAGATTTTTCTATGCCTTTTCCAAAAATATAATAAAAAGTATGGGTCACCGTGCTATTTTTCAAGCTACGGGTCGTACGAAATTGCACAAATTTGCTTAGATTGTTCATGAAAAAACACATTTTTGTGCATAAAAAGAAATCTATGAGATAAAATTTTGAAATAAAATATGAAAAGATAGGTTTTATAATATGCTTTAAGAAAATAAAAAGAAAAAATGGTGTCACTGAACTTGTTTTCTTGCTACAAGTAAAAAATTAAAATTTCCCTATCAGTCCAGTATAAATTTTTTACTAAAAGAGTTATCTCCCCTTAAATGGCCAAGTTGAAAAAATGATTCTAACAACACATTTATTTGGTATTTATTTAAACATTTTGAATAATGCAATAAATCACCAAGTTTTCTTTCATTAAATAAAAGTCTAACCTATAAATTGCCTATTTGTCTCCAAATTTGCAGATTTAGGCAAAGATCTAGACCGATTGTGTACTGCGATTGTACAATCCAAGATGGCGGTATACCATGAATCTACCTTAAATTTATTATGATATTTCATACAGACAGTTTACTAGGCCAAGAAGGCGGAGCTAGACAGTGAAATAACAACTTCTGAGATGGAAGTTAGGGCACTGGTCTAAGCTCCTCCCATTCTTTGCTTTTCCTATGACTAGCGACACACGGCGGGACTGGAGAGTGCAATAACTAAAAAATCATTCAGTTAACGCACTTTTTACTAGAGTCGGTATCAATTATTCTAACGTAATTACAGATTATGGGTTTGATAAAGCCTCTGCAACCATGACTAATATCAATATCATCACAGATAGCTGATACAGCACGATTACCATTAATTTTATTGCACATAAAATTTACCTGTATTTACTTCTAAGTATACATGTATGACAAGTGTGTATGTCCTACAGTAAAATATTTAAGGGTGTACACTTACTTTTTGGCTTTACTTCTAATGTTATACTCTGTGTGACACTTTGTGTTTCTCCTGTAGTTACATCATACTGAGCTTCACATGTGATATTGTGTTGATTAAAAGTCCGGGGTACATTTCGAATTTCTAGATAAAATCTAGAATAATATTTGTCACATGTGGCGTTATATAAAGTCTTGTTGTAGAGTATCTGGTCACATCGTCCGCCAATAGTTATCCAGTATACTATGGGTCCAGTATCTTGTGTTTTGATATACTGGACCACTTTCGGGTAGCCTGTTAAAGAACATGTAAACTCTAGTCTGTCACCTTCATCAACTGGTAACGCCTTGTCAACTGTTAATGTGACTATCTGTGCTTTATAACCTTTGAAAACAATACTATCATTGTTAACATAAAAGAATAACTTAGTATTATATTATAGACTTTGATTGTTTTTGTCTCGCCTGAGAAGGGAGTCGCAGAACGCGAGACTTTAGGGATTACAATACGGCGGCGGCGAAGGCGTGAACTATTTGTATAAAGCGTTATATCTCAGAAAGAAGAAGACCTGGATGCTTCATACCTTGTATGCAGATACCTTATGTTACGAAGTTTCCGTCTGTCATGTGTTCACTATCCTTGCCTCATTTAAATGGTTCAACAACTGCTTGAAAAAAAATATTTTTTTTGTCATGTAAATTTTTCACTTATTATTTGGTATATGGGTTTACCGAATACCTAATATATTCTTACACATAACGACCATGTATGAAATTTTCGTCATATTTTTCTAAAGATGTACAATTCGTTGCTTTATGTTTGGAATCAAATTACATGGGAGCATGCGCCACAGTTTTGTGTTTTTTTACCTCCATCACTCATCAACTTCCTATGTACCGAATACTTAAAGCAGGGGTATCATAAGTGATCAAAAACTCACAAGTCAACTTGTGATTTATGTTGTTAGGTGTCTGTCTCATTAACGTAAACCAAAAATTAACATTATTCAAATGTGATGCACCGCAAGGAAAACAGTATTAGAAGGTCATACTGGGTGCATTACATTTGCGCGCATTTGAGATTATTGTTTTTTACGTTTTTATGCGCGGCGTTTGTTTACATTTGCGCGCATTCATTTTAGAGGTAACACATGTAGATGTAAAGATAACGTATAATATATATGTCGATAGTTATTAATATTGAACATATCTATAATTTTAAGTTATATATTTTTCATATTAATTCTAAAAAAAAAAAACATTAAGTGATTATTCATCTATTTTTTGTTTCTTGACATTATTTCAAAATTTCAAAACCACCACATATATCAAACTAAGAGGGTTTGAAACATCAGCAGTGAACAAGGGACTAACGGAAAGGGTACTCGTAAATAGTTTAATAAATAAATAAATAAATGATAGTTAAATAAATAAATATAATTTGCCTGTATTTACCCGAGTTTACATGTAAAAAGAATACAATCTCAAATGTAATCAAAGCTGCGCGTAAACGTAACGTAATGAGTTTTGCGCGCAAATGTAATGTACCGGTCACATTAACCGAAAGGTAGACTAGATTAGTTCGCAAGGATTTATTTCGTAAAAGTCTGGTCAAGATGTTCCGAATCGTAGCAACCTGAGAATACTTTGCTATAACGCTGTAACGATAAAAAAGACTTAACAGTGGGTTTACCGATAAAAGACAATTATTGCAAACATATTTGTTTTTGTACAAATAGAGCCTTAAGATGATTCCCAATTTCCGGTGCAAATCAACAGGACATGTTATTTCTTCTAATCGATCAGTTACCAAAAGTTCAAACATAAATAGATTGTAAAGAGGTTGAAAAGTGTAAGGTCTAAAGAGCACCACCCCAAACCATTTACGTTTTTCTCAAAGATAGCTACAGTAGCAGCTTTAGTACCTTGCATTCGATCAAAATTTCACTTTTCTGGTGTTTAAGCTTTCAAAAGACGCTGATCCTGGCGTCAAACCTAGTCTTGCCCAGTTATGAGTTCGTGATTAGATTACCTCTAGTGCTGAAAATGTAGAACCATATTGCCATGTGTTTAAGTGTCTATCAGATGTCAGAAACTCGTCAGTGGTTGTCAGTCATTTCATAATATGTAAGAACGTTAGACCTTTGTTGACCTGTAGATTTATATGTATTATACCCAACTCCGAAAAGAAGGCGTATACTGGTTTACGTTTGTCTGTCCGTCCATCCGTTTCGCACAAATGAGAGCATCCTGAATTTTTGTATCAAGCTTCATGTGAGTCTTCATGTGAGCGTGTTTTACTGTATGATAATGAATTACTTCCTGTTTACCGAATACCTAATATATTCTTACACATAATGACCATGTATGAAATTTTCGTCATATTTTTCTAAAGATCTACAATTCGTGGCTTTATGTTTGGAATCAAATTACATGGGAGCATGCGCCACAGTTTTGTGTTTTTTCACCTCCATCACTCATCATTCCTATGTACCGAATACTTAAAGCAGGGGTATCATAAGTGATAAAAAACTCACAAGTCAACTTGTGATTTATGTTGTTAGGTTTCTGTCTCATTAACGTAAACCAAAAATTAACATTATTCAAATGTGATGCACCGCAAGGAAAACAGTATCAGAAATGATACTACGTTATTGGTAACGTTAACGTTAACTTTGAAAACTCATATGGCCGAATAGTACATGCGACGCATATGCTTGTGAAAATTCGTTCATTAATCCCCAGTGTTAACAAACCAAAATTAGTATTATAAAGCAAAAAAATAGGTAATTTTCATTTTACAAAAAGGTCTTTGTGGTATGGGGTTTTCTCATTGTTGAAGGCCGTACAGTTGCCTATAAATACTTAGTTGTTTAATTGGCAATCATGTCACATCTCCTCATTTGTATTTTCATCATTGAAAGGTAAGTCCCGAATTCAAATGGTTTTAGTTAGAATGGTCGTGGAACAAAGAAATCGAGTTCGTTCTATTAACAGTAAAAAATCTTGACCATTACAATCCATGTGGAGTCAAAACACTGTATTCAGTCGCAAATCATAATGTTAACAAACTCACCTGTTATAAAGAATATTACAACAATGCCGCTAAACACCGCATCAAATTTCATGGTCGTCTTATCATCTCAAGTATTTGTTAAATTTTCAATAACCTGACTTTCATCGGTAAATAATTTTATCTTTGTCAATAACTAAGTCATAAATTGTTATAAATTGTTGACATTGGGCAGTGTCCATTTAAATCATCGTCGTATTTCTTAAATAAAAAAGAGACTTATTGGGAAAATAATTTGAACAATCATGGCTCGGTGTTATTTACGTCTTCATTTCTTTTGCAACACAACTTAAATTCTAAGATACAACAAGCCTGTTTAATAATTGTGTTAATATTATGAGAATTATAACTTAAAATCTCTGATCTCATTTTACATAACTGTATGTTTGATGGATTTTTTTTATTAATACAATTATTTTATATATTCAACTTTATCAAATAGAAGAAAAATGGATAATTATCAATTTGCTTTGCAAAGCTATATTAAGTAACTTCGAAGGAATGGTATTTGTTAATTACACATTTTAATGTAAAATTTCGTAGAAACAACTTTGCGATTCAATTGCCATTAGGGTTTCCAAAATTTTTTCAAACAATTGTGACCTGGATGGAGAGTTGTCTCATTGGCACTCATACCACATATTCTTATTTATATTCCTATATTAAAGGCTCTATTCTCATTAATAGTTTTTAAAAATGATATTGATAATGACTAAAATGATGTCTTTCAGGCATTGTTATAAGTATGTTCAACAGTCATGTTTGAACCAATCGATGGATTGTTTATTGTACTGTATTCTTCTTGTGGCGCTTCCTGGTTGTTAACACTTACGTCTTCGTATATTCTAAAGAAAACAAATATATTAAAAGATGATTTAATACAAACCATTTTTGCACTAACTATCCGAAACAATGGCTAACACATCAAAATATATAATTACTAATTAATTCTTCAAAGTTTATATGCTTCTTTTCACCATACAATTAGATGTCAATTTGAGAATACAAATTTGAAACTTTGAAGCACTTTTTATCTCACCTGGCCCAAAAGGGCCAAATGAGCTTTTCTCATCACTTGGCATCCGTCGTCCGTCGTCCGTCGTCGGTTAACTATTACAAAAATCTTCTCCTCTGAAACTACTTTGCCAAATAAAACCAAACTTGGCCTAAATCATCCTTAGGGTATATAGTTTAAAAAATTTATCCGACGACCCCGCCTATCAACCAAGATGGCCGCCATGTTTAAAAATAAAACATGGGGGTAAAATGCAGTTTTTGGCTTATATCTCTGAAACTATAGCATTTAGAGCAAATTTTAACCGTGGGATAAAATGTTCATCACGGCAAAATCTCTCTGCCCTGAAATGTTCAGACGCATCAGACAACCCGTTGTTGGGTTGCTGCCCCTGAATTGGTAATTTTAAGGATATTTGCAGTTTTGGTTATTATATTGAATATTATAATAGATAAAGATAAACTGTTTACTGCAAAATTGTTCAGCAAAGTAAGATCTACAAATAAGTCAACAGGACCAAAATTGTCAATAGACCCCATAAAGAGTTATTGCCCTTTAAAGTCAATTTTTCACAATTTTTCGTAAATTTTTGTAATCTTTTACAAAAATCTTCTCTGAAACTACTGGGCCAAATTAAATCAAACTTAGCCTAAATCATCCTTAGGGTATATAGTTTAAAAATGATATCCGATGTTCCCGCCCATCAACCAAGATGGCCGCCATGGCTAAAAATAGAACATGGGGGTAAAATGCAGTTTTTGGCTTATATCTCTGAAATTAAAGCATTTAGAGCAAATCTGACGGGGTAAAAATGTTCATCAGGTCAAGATATATCTGCCATTAAATTTTCAAACGCATCAAACAACCCTATGTTGGTAATTTTCAGGAATTTTTGCAGTTTTTGGTTATTATCTTAAATATTATAATAGATAGAGATAAACTGTAAACAGCAAAATTGTTCAGCAAAGTAAGATCTACAAATAAATCAAACATGACTAAAATTTCCAATTGATCCAATAAGGAGTTATTGCCCTTTAAAGTAATTTTTTCACAATTTTTCGTGAATTTTTGTAACCTTTTACAAAATTCTTCTCCTCTGAAACTACTGAGACAAATTTAACCAAACTTGACCACAATCATTCTTGGGAAATCTAGTTTAAATCTTGTGTCCGATGACCCCGCTTGCCAACCAACATGGCCAGCATGGCAAAAAATAGAACATAGAGGTAAAATGCAAGTTTTGTCTATTATTTTGAAAACCGTTATGAATAGAGAAAATTTGACAGAGCAAAAATGT